TGGGGGTAGGGTGGGGTGCAGACGCAGACACACACAGACACACAGACACACAGACACACACACACAGTAAATGAATGGTATCATAAAGAAGGAATCCTGGGGGGTGGGGGATTAGCTGGAGAGGAGGAGGGCTTGAGCTACAATGGGAACTGAGTGGGAATTTGTCAAGGGTGGTGGGGGGAGAAGAATGGGGAAAGGGGGAGGCGGAGAGCAGAGAGAGGAGGAGGAGAGAAGGGGAGGGAAAAGGAGAGGAAGGGGGAAGATAAGCAAGGGGCTAGAAGATGGGGAGGAAGAGAAAGGAGAAAGGGGAGAGGGGAGAGGGGAAGGAAGGAAGATAACAAAGGAGAGGGAAATGAGGGAAATGATCAGCCCAGGGCCGAAGAGGCCATGCAGAGTGCAGAGGCTGGCATAGTGGCCTCCCTGGCTCGGTTCTGGCCAGCACTGCCCCTGCCAATGCGAGGTTTTTTTTTTTTTTTTTTTTTTTTTTTTGCTGTCGGCGGCCGGCAAGCCTCAGCAAACACATTTAAATCTGAAGTGACAGATAAAGCGATTTACGGCGACAGTTTAGCGTCAGATCACTTCCCACCAGGCAGTCGCTGTCCCTGCGGCCCCCTGCTTGCTAGTCCATCAAGGCGGTCTCTAAATCACCCGCACCAGACCAGCCGAGGCAGGCTGGGGAGCAGGGCGGGGCGCACGGTGGCCTCACTGGTGGCCAGACGCTCAGTGTCAGTGCCTGCTCCTCCACACACCGGGCTCCACTACCCTTCGGAGCTGCATAAAGGGATGAAACAAGGGTTCGTGCCATGGTAGGGCGGGGTGGGGTGGGTGATAAGAGGCGGGTTGGCTCTCACAAATCAAAGCCGTGGACTTAAGGAAGCAGAGTGCCACTCTTGCCTTATTTTAAATAAATAAGCAGCTTAAAAGTCTCCAGCGAGGCCGGCTTGTCGCTGTGAGACATGGCTTCCCACCATTCTTTAAGGCTAGGCCCCAGAACCCAGACCCTTCAAAGGCCTCCCTGACCCACCTCGCCTCCCGCCACCTCCTTGCAGAATTAATTGGTCCCTGCGGCGTCACGCACACTTTATTCAAACCTCCCTCCCGGCGCTGTGTCATATTATATTCTACTTAGCCGCTCTTGCTCCTGACTTCCTCAGGACTAATTTACTGGGGCCTCTGTGTGTCAGGCCTAAACATGTGTCATCCTCGCTCCCACACTGGCTGGGGCTGAGGATGATGGCAGCTTTCAGATGAGGACCTGAGGGATGAGAGGTGCCGGCAGGAGCCCCCCGATTCCACTCCAAAGGCCTCAGTGATGCCCTGACACACATGCACAGCCTGAGATTGCTCTGAAGAGAAAAATGGCTTTCTCGTCCATGTATGCTCTGCCCTGAGATGACTCTAAGGCCAACGCCAGGCCACTGGATCCCTGGGCTGGCCAAGAATGAGGGTCTTTGTGTCCAGACTTCCAGGCTGGGGGTTGGCCATCTCAGGCCCAGGGGCCCACAGACACCAGGCTGCTGAGCTAGACATTCAAGACATAGATTTAAGGTCACATCCTCCGAGGCACAGAAAAGACTCAAACACTGTGAAAGCCACAACACCCCCTGCCCCATGTGGAGAACCCCAGACCTGAGCTCTCCCCACCCACCCCTGGGGGTCAGAGGACACTGGAGACAGGCACTGCCCCCAGCATCTCCACCCTGGAGGAGAGAGTGGCCACAGGGGCTCCCTAGCTTATCTCGCCAGTGTGGCAGTCAATTTAATTAAGATGAATGTGGCATACCCCATGGGCAGGAGTTGTGGCTGGCACCGATGGCAGGAGCTTGAGGCTCTCCTGGGTGCTGCCCTGGCATGTGGCCTTGGCCATCAGCCCATGGGGCGGCTATGGGGAGAGTTTGGTGAGCGTGGCTTGCCCTGTGACCTTAACCCTGCCACTCAGCAGTCATGCCTTCCGCCCCCTGCCACATAGCGTACAGCGGTATCACAGACGCACAGGGCCACCGTCACGCCACACCTCACACATGCCCTTTCGGCAGGGTTAAAATCAGTCCTGGCCTTCAAAATGCCAAGTGGCTAGTAGAAAGATGGGGGTGGGGCGGGTGGCAGGGGAGGGCACTGGACTTGCCCTTCGCAGGCATTGCCTGGGTCCTATACCAAGGCACAGATGCTCTCCCTTGAGCTTCCCACTTCTCAGCATGGGATAAGGGTCCAAGACCTCCCATTCCCTCACAGGCCCCCTCTAGTTCCCCCACATCCTCCTTCGTGTTCTTGCAGCTGGAGTGAGGCCCAGGGGGACACTCCTCCCCATCTGGAAACAGACACACAGTGAGAACAAAATGAGGATGGACACACACACACTGTGGAAGCCCTGGTGGGACTTTGAGACCCCAGCCACTCCCAGTCCACACTACACTCCACAGGCCATCAAATGCCCACAGGCCAATGCTACCTCTGGCTTCAAAAATAAAAATTTAAAAATTCCCACCCCGAGATAATTGCTCTCTCCTCTCGCCTATTGTGGTGGCTCTGCGGTCGGCAATGAGAAGCAATTATTCACGGCTAATGATTATAATCAAGTCAAATAGAATTTAATGGACATGCATTCTCTTCCTGCTTGAAACTTTACATATGAATTAAGCACATATGGGTTTCACGAGGCTCGGACGCAGATTTATGCAGCCCTGAAAAGCCCCACATTGCCTGCGACTTTTATTTCACTAATAAAGGCTGATTTATGGGTTCCTTGGAAATGCAATCTCTGCTGCCCCCTGGTGGGTGATGCTGCCAGGGTGAAGCCAGGGCCCAAGGGGATGGGTAGGGACCTCTGTCTGACCAATGCCAATACCACATCAAACACTGGGGATGCAGGCTCTGCATGGGAAATCCATGTCCAACACCTGCTTCTGCCACTGCTTGCCACTCTGGAAGAGTTCTAAATCCCGACTGAGTCCCTTTCTAGAAAAAGATCTCAAGAAAACACACTAAGACGTTGGGTTCACAAGGCAAGCAAGAGACGGGAAGGCTGCTCATCTGCAGGAGGCACCAAGTCCTTTTCTCGTTGAGCTGTAATTGGCTCCTGTGCAGGTCATTCCTACCTTGCACGTCCCCAACAACCCGATGGGTCACTTTCCATCATCCCCACTGTACGGAGACAGAAGGAAGCCGGGCAGATGCAAGGATGCCATGTCCTGGGGGAAGCATGACCAACAGGGCACCAGCCCAGGGCAGCCAGCTCAGCCAGTGCTGGCGTGCTCCTCAGCGAGAGATCTCACAGGCCAGTCCATGCCCCATGTCCAAGCCTCCAGAGCCTTTTCCTGTTCCATGAATCCTGTGACACCAACCTTGGTCCCTAAACCCAAATTTGTTCACTGGCCAGGCTGCCAGGGGACTCATGAGGCAAGGCACCTGCTTTTCCATTGTCCATTTTACAACTCAACAGGAAAGGAACCACTGGATGCCGTCCACACCTTTGGCAGTGGCCTGCAGGGCCAGGTGCCAGGGCAAGGCAGACCCAAGAGACTACCTGAGGGGCAGGTGTGCAAACCAAAGCTATCTTCACTCAGATTGATCCATTGAACAGCCTGCCACCCACCCTGAGTCAGGTGCTCAAGGGAGACACACAGAGCAACAGCCAGAAAGGCAGAGGTGACCCAGCTCTTTCTGGCACTGAGTGCCACCCATCACTGAGACAGGCAGGGTGGGAGGAGGGCACAGTGTTATCCCTCTGCAAACACTGCCAGAAATGCCACCAAGATCACAAACGCAAAGGTCCAGGACAGAGAGAGCAGTCACCTCTGCTGGGAGCCCAGTTACTTAGGGAGCCCAAAGAGACACTGACAGCATCAACAGCTCCCTGTTCCAGAGTCCTGCAGGGACCAACTGCCTTGTGGGGGCACCTCGCTCTGCCAAGCTGCAGAGCTTCTGCAAGCCAGAAGGCAAGAGGAGGTCCAGAAGCACCTGGGGTGCTGTGGGCTGCACAGGGGCAGGGGCAGGCATGATGGGGTTCTCCCTGTACACGAGAGCCCTTTGTTAGGAGCTCTTCCTGATAGTCACACAATCATAGAAAAAGACACCTCTGATGCCAGCCGTAGTTCCTGAGGGTTGTATGAGGGAGGGAGGGAGGGAGGGAGGGAGGGAGGGAGGGAGGGAGGGAGGGAGGGAGGGAGGGAGGGAGGGAGGGAGGGAGGGAGGGAGGGAGGGAGGGAGGGAGGGAGGGAGGGAGGGAGGGAGGGAGGGAGGGAGGGAGGGAGGGAGGGAGGGAGGGAGGGAGGGAGGGAGGGAGGGAGGGAAGGAGGCCACCTACCCAACCTTGTTCCAAGACGTTCCTATGCACATGCTAGTCTTTGCTGGCCCCAGACACCCGTTCCTGGTGACTCCAGAACCCTTTCCAGAGCCTCTTGACCTCAGCCAGACAAACACCACAGCATTCTTCCCTCCCCCAGAGAAGCAGCTGCCTCCACTCTGCTCTTCACAATAAACCGCCAAGCCAGCAAGAGGAGAACACACGCAGGAAGCTGAGCAGCTCCCAGCCCAGACGCTGGAGAGCTGCCAGGGGGCTGAGGGGACCTCTCTGTACCCTCCCTTGCCTCCATGAGCTCCCTCACCTGGTCAGGTGTGGAGTGAGGCAGGGCTGGTGGGGGTGGGGAAGCAGCCACAGCCTCCTCCCCAGGAGGAAGAGAGCTGGCTCTGGCCTCCACCTCTGAGGCAGGGCAGTGTGGCAACTTTCCAGTGGTGCTCTCTCCCATCCCCACTGCTAATGGGCCTCAGAGCAGCAAGGCAGCTTGGCAGAGCGAGGTGCCCCCTCAAGGCAGGTCAGGGCTTCAAGAGAAAAGAGCCCAAGTAGCCGCCACACTGGGCTCCTGTGGCGCCAGCAAGCCATCCACACCAGCAACTGAGAGGCTCTCTGGAGCCAGGTGGCGCCCACCCATTTTTGGCACACCGACCAAGCCGAATGTGACAAAGTGGCCCCCCCAGGCCTCTGACTCAGGCCAGTCACTCACCAGCGTTGACAATGGCATCCACTTCCAGCTTGGTGATGTCCCCTCGGAACAGGGAGATTTTCTCATTCAGCTGCTTGTCCTTCTTATACTTGGGGTCCTCCACTTTCACAGTCACCCCTGCAACAGGCAGGGTTAAGGGGCCTTCACTGCAGTCACTCAGCCAGAGCCCATGGGCAAAGAGCCAAAAGGGTAGCGAGTGGCCACTGATGGTGGTGGTGACATCCTACTCTGGATGAGACCTACTGTGTACACACAGTAATCATCCAGGAAGTGTCGGTGATCTCACATACCCCCTGGTTTCCTAATTTTTGAGACAGGCTGGCCCCAACTTGCTACATAGCAAAGATTGGCCTTCAACTCCTCATCTTCCTGCCTCTACCTTCCAAGTGCTAGGCTTACAGGAACACCCTACCACACCTGACTTCACACACTCCATTTTTAGATGTCACAACAGAGGCTGAGGTGGGATAAGTGGCTTGCCTGGGGTCATGGGTTACCACACCTGCACTTTCAGACCTCAGGAGTTCCAGCATGCCCCTGTAAGCAAGCACATCACGGCAGCACAGCACAGCTCCCAGAAACTGAGTTACCCGAGGTAATGGCTTATGTGGCCTGGAGCTGGCTTCTTAATGCTGTCATGGAACTGAAAACCAAACTGGCCTCAGGCAATGTCACTAATGAAATGACATGACACACGAGAGAGCCTGGATAAAGGGAACACTCAGTTGGTGACACGTGCAGAGCCTGGATGGAGGGAACACTCAGTTGGTACCACTAGATGCTCTGGCAGATCCTCCCAAGCCATTCTGTAGGGGCCCCTGGCATGCCCCGAGAATAGGGCCTACCTTTCGCGGTCTCCTTCCATGTGGGGATCTTCTTCAGCTTAATGAAGTCCCTGCAGAAGTAGTGCTCCTCCCTCTGCTTGTCACTCAAGCCCTTCAGAAAGGCTGCAGGGGCAGGACAGGCAGGAAGCAGAGTCAGTATGGCAGGGCAAAGAGGGGCCCCACGCAGGCCTCCTCCTCCTCAGAGTTCCTGCTGAGTCCAAGAGTGCAACCCAGTCCTACCAGCTGTGCTTCCCATGGCCCTCAGGGACAGAGACACGGACGACTCCACAACATCTTGCCCTGCTGTCTTTGTTCAGGAAGAGAAACTGAGTCCCAGGGAGATTGAGGGACTTGTTCAGTCACTGCAGACACCAGTTCAGAATTCAACCTGGGCCGGGCGATGGTGGCGCACGCCTTTAATCCCAGCACTCGGGAGGCAGAGGCAGGCGGATCTCTGTGAGTTCGAGACCAGCCTGGTCTACAAGAGCGAGTTCCAGGACAGGCTCCAAAACCACAGAGAAACCCTGTCTCGAAAAACCAAAAAAAAAAAAAAAAAAAAGAATTCAACCTGGTCCCTTCCCGATACTTAAACATCTCTGGGCCCCTCATATCTGCATCGTAGTGGGGTGAGATATCCTTGCAGAACAATTGCAAACTCGCATGCACTAAACCAGGCAAGCTGGTGATGCTCTGTCCCTTGTCAGTCACAATGTCACTGATGGCAAGACAAATATCCTCAAAGACAGACTGGCAGATCTGGAGCCCGCCGTCAGCATCCTCCCAGCACTGGCCAGGGTTTCTATGCAGCCTGCAGGCAAATGTTCCCATTTTTACAGAGGAGGCATAAGGCACTTGGGAGGCAGCCTGAAGTCACTCAGATGGTGAGTGAGGACCCAGGTCCCCACCTGCTCACAGACTCTGAGTAAGCCAAGTTGGTCCCCGCTGCCCCAAGCCAGGCCTTCCCTTGCTGTAGTGCGTTTGAGCCACCTAAAGAGGCTGATCTGCTACAGCTTAGTCCAGGCTTACGGCTCACAGGCTCCCCCTGCTGGTGAGAGGCTATCTATACACTTAGCCCCCCCCCCCCAGGTGCCCTCAAACCCAGGCTAGGGGAATGGAGAGGGGATAGCACACAGCAGAAAACAGATGGGAGTCCAGTATAGGGATGTAGGTCAGCTGGTGGAATGCTTGCACAAAGCCCTGGGTTCCAACTTCACTACCACCTCCCCTCCTCTCGGTGAGACTCAGCTCAAACCTAAGAGCAGCAACTGACCCCAGGCTGACCCTTGTATTACCCCATTTCCAAACCTGTCCTCCTAACTATACCCACCGACCCGGCCGTTTACCAACCTGCTCCTCAAACCCCCAGGAGAGTTCCTGCTCAGGGCCTCTGTACCTGCTATACCTGGAATAGCAGTTTATCTTCCAAGTTATCATTACCCTCTCCGTTCCCTTCTCCACTTAAATGGCGCCTGCCTTTAATCCCAGCACTCGGGAGGCAGAGGTAGGCGGATCTCTGTGAGTTAGAGGCCAACCTGGTCTACAAAGCGAGTCCCAGGATTGTTACACAGAGAAACCCTGTTTTGAATCTTAAGAGTCTGTGTGCTGGACATCAACCAATAAGATCTATCCATGTAAGGATCTGTGCCATTCCCCACCAGCAGTGTGTGCGAGGGGCCATGGATGGTCAGTCAAGAGCTACAACCTGAAGGCTGAGGATCAGCTGGCTGAGCAGCCATCCAGGCAGAGGGCCTGCCTGTGCAGAAGTGCGGAGGCAAAAGGGAACATTTGGGGGTGATGTGGAGGGAAGCGGGAACAGCCAAAGCAGAGAGAGAAGGCAGGGCACAGGGGACCGGCAACACCAGTGGCTCCGTGGTAAGGTGCTCAGCTAGCAAGCATGGGTCCTGGGTTCAAGCCCTGTCCCAGTTTCAGGAAAAGAAGGCAGGACTACAGATCCTCAGGAGGGGCACCCACCAGGGCAGGATTTGAGAGGGCAAAGCCTTCCCGGGGGAAAGCAGGGCAGCAGAATTCTGGCTGTTATTTAGCTCCCCATACTTGCTATCACATGCAGTCATGACCAGACACCCTGAACCTTGGCACAGTCAAGTGTGGATGCTTCCAGCCGGTTAGACCTGGAGCTGGCACCAGGAAGCTGTGGTGACTCCACTGCTTGCCAGCTACCGCAGACCAGCTACAGGCACTGCTGAGACGGTCAGGCTGGGACCAACCCTGCAGCCACATGGAATGAGGCCCATGGCCCAAGGACACCCAGACCCCTGGCAGACACATCTGACAGATGTCACCACCTTAGAGCCCTTCATAACCTTGGTGGCCTGCTTTGAATGGCCACAGTTCCCAAGGCCCTCTTGCTCCAATGGAGTCCAAATAGAGCACTGTTTCCCAGAGACTGCGCCCTGTCTCTGCCACAACCACCACTACACCAGTCTCAGGGACATCTGTCAGTCTGTCCCTGTCAGGGCTAGTCCCCAAATACACAACCTCAAAAGACCAGCATGAGCCAGATATGGTGACACACAACTGTTATCCCAGCATTTGTCAAGCAGAGGCAGGAGGATGAGGAGTTCAAGGCTACCCTGGGCTGTATGAGACATGAACAAAAGGCCAGCACACCAGTACTGTGTCTCCATCTCCAAACACAGCCACGGTCATGGCAGACTCTTGAGGTGCAGAAAACTACACAGCTGCCTGAGATGCTTCTCTGCCCCGGGGCCCAAGCACTTGTTCTTCACCTCAGCTCCAGCTTTGAGGATCATCTCCCAGGCCTCCTCTGCCCCACACAGAAGTCACTACCCACCTCCTTCCAAGTCAGATGCAGACTTAAAGCACAAGTGGGTTTTATTTTTTTTATAAAAGATGTAAAACATGCATTTTCATTCTCTATCATTTTTGTAGAGGCGAGAGTATTTCACGGCTCACTGAGACAGGTGTTGTAAAAAGATGTTCGCAGTAAATTTTGATGGGGAAGCCTGACCCCAGACTAAGCTTCCAGAGGCTCGCGGGCACGAAAGCTGGGCAGGAGGAAGCAGGCTCTGCCAGAGCCATAAAGCGCGCTAGGCAAACGGGAATTCAATGATGTGTTTTAAGAAGTATCTTTATGACACTTTGCAAGACGTTGTTCAGAGAGATGAGACAGGCTGAACCTGTAGGGGTGCGGGGGGGGGGGGCTGAGTCTGCAGAACACCAGGTGGGCACAGCTGATAAGGTTGTGCACTTGAACACAGCAGCATGCAGCGTTTGTGGCATTAATCACCTGTGCTCACTGGCCCCTGGGAGCAGAGACTCAAGCAGGGAAGAACAGAGTGTGAAGCCCACTGCAGCTCTCTACCTGCCTCCACTCACACTGCATCCCAACATGGAAGAGATGCCCTCGCCCCTCATTCTCAGGTGCGCCTGGACGATACGCTGGCTCAGCAATCCCATCAGAGACACTGTCACTGAGATGATGTTCCCTATGGTCCTCAATCCTGGCCCCTCCAATGGGACCTGCAGCTGAAGCATAGGAATCTCACCATGAGCCACCGGGGATGGGGACTGCAGGCTGGTCTGTAAGAGCCCAGCACAGAGTGGATTGGAAGCTGGGAAGAAATGTGAAAGGGGCAGCTCTGTAGGCTGTCACTCCAATGGGAGCCCAGCACGACAGCAGGAACTTTGATCCCACTTCACAGATGAGGAAATGGAGGCCCAGGGAGCATGCAGCCGTGATCCTGGGACTTGCCGGAGTCGGACGGCACCAACGTTCCTTCTTTTCAGTACACAGTTCTGCTTCAGCATGGGCCAAGAAGCCAAGGCTAGGACAGTGCCCCTCGATGTTCCTGATGGCCCCAGCTAAGTTCGCTCAACAGCCTTGCAGTGGGAAATTTCCAGTCTTTTTTAAAGTAATTTTAAAATATGTATTTATTTTATTGTATTGCATGGGTATTTTGCCTGCATGTATGAATGTGCACCATGTGTCTGTCTGGTGCCGTTAGAGGCCAGAAGAGGCATTGGGTCCCCTAGAACTGGAGATGGGTGGTTGTGGGTCACTGTGGAGAGCTGAAGAGCGAGCCCAGGCCCTCTAGATGATCAATCAGGGCTCTAAACTGCTGAGCCATCTCTCCAACCTATTTCCAGTCTCCTAAAGAGGCCCTTAGTTGGAGGGAGGGTACTGTGGCACCCAAGAACCAAGGGGATTAGGTTAACCAGTGCAATCAGATCTGCCACTAACAAAGCTCAGCACTTGGCTCGACCCTCAGGATCATATAAGCCAGGCTTGGTAGTGCATACCTGTAATCTCAGCATCTGGAATAATGTACAGGCAGGAGGATCAGAAGTTCAAAGTCATCCTCCATGATACAGGGAGTTAGAGGCCATGAGGGGATCCAGCCTGGTGGTTGTCCTCATGTGGATGGTTAATGGACCCAGAGAAGCAGGCAGCCAACAAGGAGGTGAAGAAGGAGCTGAGCCTTGGGCAAGGCCTCTCTAGCTGGACCACAGCAGGCAATGGACATAGCACAGCACCCCATAAGGAGATTCTTCTGGAAGGCTGAGCCCTTCCCAAGCACTGATGCTTGCTCTCCAGCCTCTCCTCTGCCCTCCTGCTGTGAGCCTGCAGCCTGCTGCCTGGGTGAGATTATGCTTTGAATCTGAAGCCCCCACTTCACATTTTACAAGCTTGGTCCCTCGCTGGTGGTGCTGTTCTTGGGGAGGTGGGGGCTGACTGGCCATACTTCCTGCCTCAGCCTCAACCTCCTCATCACCAGCCACTCCTGCCACCATGGTCGTAGTTTCCTTTTGTTTAAGACAGAGTCTTGCCAGGTAGCACCATCCTTGCTACACCAGTCTCAAACTCACAGCAATCCTCCTGCCTCTACTTCTGAGTGCTAGAATCAGAGGTGTGCATCATGCCTTCCTGACCCTCTGCACAGAGCCAAAATGAGTCTCTTTTTTCTTCCCTTAAATGAAGTATTGTGGTCACAGCGATACAAAAGCTAACGTGGGCTGCCCTGGGTGAGAGCAGGTGCCACCAAGCAACCCCAGGCTGCTTTGGCTTTCCCATGAGGTGAGGAGCCCTGCCCAAGGGTTCAAGGGTTTTCACACCCATTGCTATTTCATATATATAGTTGTTGGTGGTGGTTTTTTGAGACCAGGTTTTACTGTGGAACAGCCTTGGCTGTCCTGGAACTCGCTCTGCAGACAAGGCTAACGTTGAACTCACAGAGATCCACCTGCCTCTGACTCCTGAGTGCTGGGACTAAGGGTGCGCACCATCACCCGGCCATATTTTTTTTATCCTAAACTGCCTATACATTAGTGTTGTGGGAATGTGCCCACTGTGTGCCAGTCTCTGACAGAAGATCACCTCAGGAGAGCAAGCATCTGGATATCTCATCCTCATTTAGATACATCCCTGAAAGCACATATCTGTTAGAGACACGCTTCAGGGTGGTCTGAGAAACCTTAATACTGTCTACAAAAGAAAGTGTATACACACATGGAACATCTGTAAGATGGAAGGCCACACAGAGGTAAAGAACATAAACTGTCATAATGTGTACATGTGGACTACAGGGTGAGATCCAGGTCAGCCTGGGCCACAGAGGAAGGCTTTGCTTGTTTGTTGTCTTGTTTTTGGAGACAGGTCTCACTATGTAGCCCTGGCTGGCCTAGAACTTGCCTTGCAGACCAGAATGATCGGGAACTTAGAGATCTGCCTGCTTCTGCCAACCAAGTGCTGGGATTACAGGCATGTGCCACTAATCCTAAACTTTTTTAAAAACTTTTTAAATTTAACTTTATTTTACATGCATTGGTGTGAAGGTATCAGATCCCCTAGAACTGAAATAATGGACAGTCATGAGCTGCCATGTGGGTACTGGGAATTGAACCTGGGTCCTTTGGAAGAGCAGTCAGTGTTCTTAACCACTGAGCCATCTCTCCAGCCCCCCAAGCCTAACCTTTTTTTAAAAAAACAGTCTTTAAGACAGGTGGATTTCTGTGAGTTTGAGACCAATCTGGCCTACATAGTAAGTTTCAGGATTACATGGAGAAACACTGTCTCAAAAGAAAAATAGTCTTTTGACCAGGCCATCCCCCCATTTCCATGCCCAGAGCCTGCTGTCCCAGGTCATGGAGACTTGGAGTAACCTCTTCTACACACTAGGTAACTAAAATACCAGAGGCCTTGTCTCAACTGCTCACCTGCCAGCCACTGTCACCGAGGATGCCTCAGGACTGCATTTGGTCACAGTGGGACCTCCTCTAAGTCTAGCCCTCCCTCCTGACCCTGGAATGCCCTTCCCAGTCAGCTTCTTTACGTCAGGTCACTCATCTCCCTCAGACCTCCCCAGCTCAGGTGGCCCAGCCAACACAGTTTCCCCATAGTGCCCACAGGACAGAGACCATGTCAATAGTTTTCCCCACTAGACAGACTGCTGCCTCTCCACTCTCTGCTGAGTCCTACAGCGCTGGCCCCTACTGGATATGAGGTAAAAGTTTATTGACTGAGCGCTAAGGAGATGGCTCAGTGGGTGAATGCACTTGCCATGCAAATCTGGACACCCGAGTTTGAATGCCAGAACCCACGCATAAGTCTAAAGGCCAGACGAAGCAGCACTGGTGTCTGTAATCCTAGTACACCCACTGGAAATGGCAGAGACCGGAGATTCTCCAGAGCCTCAACGACCAGCTCACTGGGCTTAAACAGACCCAGGGGAGCAAGACTGGCACCTAAAAACAGAGGCAGACCCTACACTAGGTGTGATACTGTCCCAGCCCTCTGCCACCTCCCTGGGTTGCTGCTCTCCACGAGGAGAAAGATGAACTCTCAGAAGGGACAAAGACTCCCTCTGCTGGAGTTCTGGGCCAGCCCCCAACCTCCAGCCAAGTTTGAGGGAGTGGCAAGTTTTCTCTGCTCCCAGACAAGACTGTCAAGTGCTTTAGGATCCTGGGCAGACAGGCAACTCAAACCACAGGGAGAAGTTCTCTTTCCGAAAAACGTCCCAATCTGAGGTTAGCTTCAACCCAGTTTGACCCGGGTGGCCCAGCCCGCATGGTCATGCCCACCAGCAGCCCAGCCAATGAGACAGGCGCCTTCCCAGCTCTTTTGAAAGAGGATCCGCCCAGAGTCATAGGGGAGGAACTGGCTCTGAAGGGCAGGGGCAGCTGGGCTGCCGCTCAGGGCTATTTGGGACTCTGGACTTTGCGTTCCAGCTAAGAGACTCGGTCGTCCAGGACCTGTGGCCCCTTCCCGGCATGCCTGTCCAGAAGGAGAAATACTTTCATTCTTGGGGGAATCAGTGACTCTCACCAGCCCACACTCGGTGTCAGTCTGCTCTATGAGCCCAGACCCCCAAGAAGGGGGCAGCTGCTGGCAAGGGGCCAGAAGTCAGCAGGCGGGCAAAACGGGCACATACCACACTCCTAGAGAGGCCGGCACCCGAGCTGCCACTCTTGGGGCTATCTGAACCTACCTGGCAGCCACCAGCCCTGTATTACTCTCACAGCCTATCCCTGCCACTTGGCCCCAAATGTCTAGCAGCATGCAAGGCAAGGTATTGGAGGCCAAGATACCACACTTTGCTTCTACACACTCAAGCCTGACCTTGGGGAAATAGGCTCTGACACTGGGCCTCAGTTTCCCTCATGCGCATGGAGCAAGGTGGCAGGTCCCAGACGATCTGGGCGGAAGGTTCCTGGGGGCCATAGCCGCCTTCCCCACTCACTTGGTCAAGGGGTGACCTGGTGTGGGAGCTGGACATGGCTGTGGGCTGAGGGGGGGTCCCCAAGTGTCTCGGGACATGTGGGGTGCCATTCGGCCCGGGAGACCCACGCCCTGAGCTCACACTTACATTTGGCCTCCTTCCAGTCGGTGGAGGTGCTCAGGTCCACCTTCGCGGCCATGGCCAGGGGGGCCCAGGTGCGCACCCAGGCTCCACGCCCCGCTGCCCCCCACGCCCCAACTCCCGCCGAGGGCCACGCGCAGAGGCTGTGCGCGCTTATCGCCACCGAGGGACTGCACGCACTGCCGCGGGGCCGCGGGCCACCCGCCGAGCGGCCGGGCCAGGGGCGCGGGGCAACCAGCAGCTGCCCCGCCGCGCGTAGCTGTGCCAGGCGGCCGGACACTTGACTCTGCAGCGACATGAGCAGGCGGTGCCGGGCGGCTCTCCGCCCACTCGGACTCTATTTACGGTGCTCAGGAGAGTCGGGCTCGGTCGCTTATTTACTCTGGGACGAGAGTGGCGCGTGCCAGCTCGTGGCGACCTGCTTAGAGACCGCGGGCGGCGCGCCGCTGGGCACTCTGGAACTTGTAGTCCGGGTCCGACACACTGAGCTCACGCACTTGTATACACACGTGCGCACCCAGCCTGTCTGTGTCCTCCGGGAGAGGCCGCAGCCAACCTCCTGAAGCTCTTTCCTTGTTCTTTCCGCCGAGCTGCCCTGGCTCAGTACTCAACTCGGCCCCTAACGCGTGCCTTGTAGGCAGAGAGACCTGGGCTTGTCTCGCCGCCACTACGCTTCACCCAGCTCCGCGTCTGGTCCACAACAGCCGCAGGTTACAGTCCACCAAGGGGAGGGGGTAGATGCGGCAGACCAATTTGTCAGGTTGGACGGCTTCTCCCGAGCCAGGCAGAAGAGCTCAAACTCCTCGGAAGCTCCAGAGGCGAAGCGGCGCCTACTGAATTTCAGAGCAACCAAGGCACTAGTGAGATTTGAAAGCCAGAAACTTGGATGCCAACCCGGTGTGGTGCTGCACACCTGTAATTCCAGCATTCGGGAGGCAGAGGCCCGAGGATTTTAGGAAAGTTTAAGGCCAGCCTGACTACAGTGCCGCCCCATAGCTAGACCCTGTCTCAGTCAATCAGTTGATCCATCGATGCATCAGTGAATATAAAAAAGAAAAGAGAAAGAAAAATAAAATAAAATCTGGGTACCTAGGAGCACTATCTGGTCAACTAACTAGGGTAATTTTTTCCCCTAAAGACCCATGCTTGTGGGGCTAGAGAGATGGCTCACCCGTTAAAGAGCACTGACTGCACTTCAGAGGACCGGGTGGAAATCCCAGCCCTCACTTGGCAGTTTACAACTGTCTGTTACTCCAAGATCTCCCACTGTGGTGGGATATTTGTACACTGGGAAGCTGTGATTGGTGTAATAAAAAGCTAAACGGCCAATAACTAGGTTGGAGGTGTGGGTAGGATTTCCAGGGAGGGAAAGGAAGAGGAGATGAGGCCGCAAGAGATGCCATCGAGACTCAGAATGAGTCAGACGCTTGGAGTCGAAGAGAGATAAAATTCACGTGGTGGAACATAGATTAATAAAAATATTAATTAATTTAAGTTAAAAGAGCTAGTGGGACAAATCTAAGCTAAAGGCCAAGCTTTCAAAATTAATAAGTCTCTGTGCCATTATTTGTGCGCTGGTGGCCCAAAAGAAAAATACAGCTACATGACTCCTTCACACAGACATACATGCACATAAAATAATAGATTAGAAAAAAGACACATGCCTGTAATCCCAACATTCCAGAGGCCGAGGAGAGGCAAGAGGATCAGGAGATCTAAGTTAGCCACTACTTCATATTCAATTGCACACCAGCCTTGTTTACTTGAACGCTTGTTGTCAGTGCCACCCCGTGAGACTCTGTGTTTTGTTTTTGTTTATTTGGTTGTTTTTATTTAAAAAAAGAAAAAGAGAAAAAGCGATTTAGACCCTGGGGCTTGAGAGATAGCTCAGTAACAGACAGCACTGGCCCAGCGGCCCAGGAGACCATTTCCAGGGCTCACATGGGGGTTCAAAGCTACTGTAACTCCAGTTCCAAGGGTGCCACCCTCTTCTGGCCTCCTCGGGCACCAGGCATCAAAGTGGTGCACAAACATACATGCAGGAAAACATTCAAACACATTTTTTTTAAATGAACTGTTATTGTGAGCCTTAATGGCTGAGCCATCTCTCCAACCCTTACCCCTCAAATTTTACAAATAAAGATTTAGATCCTGGAAAACAAAACAAAAAGGAGAGAAAGGACAAAGTGAATGATCCTCCTGTTGAAACGTCACCACAAATCTGGCAGCTTAAGGCAGATTTGTCATCTTAAATTCTGTGAGACAAGAATCTGGCGGAGTCACCAGAATTACCTGCTGCTGCTTCCTCCCAGGAAGCTCTAAGGAAGCCCCGGGATTGTTCAGCTGCCAGAGGTCACATGGCCCTTCCGGTAGCCCCTTCCTGCATCCTGGCAGTGAGCCCAGGCTCCTGTTGTCTTTCCTGTGGTGGGGGCCTTGCTCTCCGGTTCTGCTGGCTTCCTCTACCATTTTCCAGGCTGTGATTACACTGGCCCCATCCACATCCAGGAAAAAGTCATTGCTTGCCCATGTTCAGCTGGTTTGAAGCCTTAGTTTTCCTTTGCCAGGGGTCATATTCACAGGCTTCCGAGTTTAGGAGAGGCAGCTTGAAGGGCCTTCACTTTGCCCTCAAGCCTTCCTTCAGATCAAAGCCTGGGTAGGGGACTCTGGGAAAAGGTAAGGTCCCACCCAAAATCTGGTTACTAAGGAGAAGGCTGAAATATATGTCCCTTGGGGCTGAGCCCCTGGAGCTCTTTGGCTAAGCCAGAGCCCTGCCACCACCACCCTGCCCCTGGAGCTCTCTGGCTAACCAGAGCCCCGCCACCACCCTGCCAGCTACTGCACTCTTTAAAGCCTTGATTCTTCTTTGTCTTTTTTTTTTAATTGAAAATAGCTTTTTTTCATTACACACACTCACACATTTTTGTGGAGACAGGGTTCTCAGTGTAGCCCTATATACAATATATTCTTTTTTTTTTTTTTTTTTTTTTTTGATTTTTCGAGACAGGGTTTCTCCGTAGCTTTTTGGTTCCTGTCCAGGAACTAGCTCCTGTAGACCAGGCTGGCCTCGAACTCACAGAGATCCACCTGCCTCTGCCTCCCGAGTGCTGGGATTAAAGGCGTGTGCCACCACCGCCTTTATTTCTTATTATTATTCTTTCTTTCTTTCTTTATTATTATTTATTCTTATTAGAATTTCCCCTTCCCCAGCTCCTCCCAGATACTCCCTGACTCTCCGCCCACCTGAATCTATACCCTTTCTTTCTCTCATTAGAATACAGTTATCTAAAAAAAAATAATAAGCCGGGCGGTGGTGGTGCACGCCTTTAATCCCAGCACTTGGGAGGCAGAGGCAGGCGGATCTCTGTGAGTTCAAGACCAGCCTGGTCTACAAGAGCTAGTTCTAGGACAGGCTCCAAAACCACAGAGAAACCCTGTCTCGAAAAAAAACAAATAATAATAATAAAATAAGATAAAATAAAAACAAACAAACTAGAACAGGAACAAACAAACTACTAGGAGAAAAAGGAAAAAAGAAAACATAAGAAACATATATAGATGCAAAGACATACATGGTCACACACACACAAAAATCCTATAAAAACACAGCATGAGGAACCATAATATATACACAAAAGATCTGTAAGGGAAGGAAAAAAGAATAATAAATAACCCAGGCTCCTGCTGAGCCCAGCAGTGATTTGTGTGCCCAGTGAGACTCCACTGGAGAAAACTTATTTTTCCTTTATGAACAGTTGTCAACTGGAGATGGCATCTAAGTTAGGGATGGGGTCTTGTGTCCATTTTCCCCTCAGAGCTGGGACCCCATCTGGCCGAGACTCATGCAAGCCCTGTGCATGTTGCCAGTCTCTGATCATATGTGTGTAGTCCTGCTATGTCTAAAAGGCCTTGTTGACCAGGCATGGTGGCACATGCCTTTAATCCCAGCACTTGGGAGGCAGAGGCAGATGGATCTCTGTGATCCTGGCCTACAAGAGCTAGTTCTAGGACAGACCCCAAAACTTCAGTGAAACCCTGTCTCAAACAAACAACCAAACAAAAGGAATATAGTAGCTGGAGGCTGGTGTAGTGGCACACTTTATTCCCAACACAAAGGAAGCAGAGTTTGAGGGCAGCCTGGTCTACAGAGCTAGTTCCAGGACAGCCAGGACTACATACGTTGTGTGACAGTACACACACCTACTCACTCCAGGTAGGGAGCCCACAACAAACTAAAGCACAGATACCACCAAGATCCAACTTGGTGAACCAGTGAGTTTTATTGGTTAATTCAGGAGTATGGGCAAGGGGTCACTTATGGAAGCAGAAATTACTGCAAAGTCAGTTGTATCACCAAAGCCGACCCCAACCAGCATAGGAGACAGCTCACAAAAGCTAGGAACTTGGAGCACACTGCACAGCCTGCAGGCAGCTCAGCAGGTTGGAGAGTGTCCCTTCCAAGTGACTCAGTTGGTCTAAACCTCTTCTACGCAGCTTGACTGGTTTCTGCTTCTTCCAGGCAGATGGTCCGGCCGCAATGTAAACCCCTTTGAAGGAACTGTGGCCAGCCTAGGACTAGCAAACATGGCTCTGGCAGGCCTTGCCCTTCACCCTGATTACATTCCTAAAGCTAGCCACTAAGGTCTAGTCCCTTATTTGGCCACTTCCTCCTCCTGAGGCTGACTACCAAGGTCCAACTATCAAAGTATTAAAGTCCAGCAATCAAAAGCCCCCTTTGGCTCATCTAATTAACATGTCCAATCAAAATTAAACACAGAATCCCACCAATCCCTGAGAGTTTACCCCAAGATCAGATCACAAAATCCCACCAATTCCAGGCCTCTCTGGAAAGCTCCCCACCTCATCCCCCCCCCCCCATACAAGAAATCCTACATAAAGCCTGCCTCCTGCTCAGTTCTTTGTTCATTCTCTCCCAACAGAAGCAGCCACTCTCCTGTGTCTTTCCCAGTAAATCTTGTGAAAAGTTTGCTGTTCAATGTCACTTTGTGGTATTCCTTGGTTCCCGGTTGCCAGGATACCTTGCCCTTCGGATCTGTACATTTACACTCAGAGAATTCTTTACAGCTTGGCTCTGCTCCTCTAAGAAGGACCCTTGGCTTTTATTGCTTCTCTGGCAGCGAGGAGGTTTGTGAATCTGTCACTTTCAGGGACTTCCTAAAGCTATTTTGAGTTCTTTACCTTCTGCTTAAGGAGTTTCCCTGCAGGACAGAATGTTTAATATTGGAGGATATTTACTTACGTAAAAGCTAGAAAGACCCAGGAAGAAGGAGGAGGAGGAGGAGAGGAAGGAAGGAGGGGGGAGGGAGAGAAGGAAGGAAGAAAATGATAATTAGAAACTGGACATAGTGGTATACCCCTATAAGGCAAAGTCAGGACAATCAAGAAATCAGTTCCG